GGCATTACGATACCGCACGGTTGTGTGGGGGCACCAATTAAAACGTTCAGTGCTAATGAGACTATAGAATTATTGGCGAATGATCCTTTTCAATTACGCATTATAAAATGATCGCGATCCGGGCCCTCTCCATACCATTGCCATGATTAGAAGTAATGAATGGCATTGCGCCTGCGCAGTGAGATGGCTTTAGATTGGTTTCCAGCTGGTAGGAGAGGTCAGTGGCTCGGGTGTGCGCGCGCTGCTTCACTCCAAAGCAGAGAGCGAGAGAGGTGGAGAGAAACAAGTATCGTCTGCTAGCTACAACCATCTATTCATTAGTGTGACATCATCATTACGCAGGGAATCACAACTGACTCTTGACACTGATTGCTATTGTTTAGATCATCGCTGACCCTCTGAAAGAAGCACATGTGTAGTCCGGTTTCATCTGTGATATACTAAGCAGCTAAGGGATTTCTCAATGCTGGTTTTAACCCACCATCCGAGTAACATCGGTGATATACCAACAGAGGAAAGGAAGACAAATTTTGAATCGAGAAACGAGATTATGCAGCCGATGGATGAGGCAACAAGGAGCCCTGGTCGTGGAGATGGAGATTGTAGTTATTCCAGTGGAGCCCGATCACCCAGCGGGACTTCGGATTCAAGCCCCGCCATGAGCCCCCGGGCGGCGCCATCATCACCCGACCCAACTGCAGCAGCTATTCATACATGCCAGCCTTCGCTGGAGAACCTAAATCGTACCGCAATGAGAGGCCGTCATCACCGGGAGCCTAGCCCGCCAGTGATGCGGAGGCAGGAACCTCAAGAACAATCACCCACCCGACCTCCCAAACTCACACCATTCTCTGTTCTAGACATCCTTGACCCTCACAAATTCACGAAATCGTCACCGACATCGGGTCGAGATTCGGAGTGTCTTTCGTCTCCGAATGACGACCAGGATGAACGAATGTCGCCTGACTTCTCGATGGCTCATCACGGAGTCGACAGAGCATCGCCGTTCTTTTCTCATCGGTCTCCGGGTCGGTTGCTAGCCGTGCGTCCACGCTCATCGCCCGGCGTACCGCACGACAGCGATACTTGTGGAGCAGGTGAGAGTTACTAATTACTATGGCATTATCCATTATCACCTCCCCTTCCTCCGGGAACCATGCAATTAACACATCACTTCAAGATGATAACCACTTTATTCCAGACTTGATTATCATTTCGGAATGGTTTTCAGAACGCAAGGTTCACACTTGGTGTTAAAAGTCTTGATGTTGCAAGGTGAAGCAAAAGCTGACTCCGTAAAAATATGATCAAACGCTTGAAAATAAATTTAACCCAATCGGAACACGTTAAAGTCAAGTCAATTTGTTCCAAATTGTCACAAATCATCATCAACTTTACGTTTCGCCATTGACAGGAGTGATTTGTTATCAGTGCAATAACACTCACAGTGTATAACTAAATTCTATGCTGCATGCAAAGTTTAGGAAGAAGTAACACAGTCATGTTTCATCTACTTCAGTAGCATCAGAATATATTTAGCAAAGATAATACTCATTTGAATTCCTAATATCGAAATTTATACTCTATCAAGTATAGCTGATTTAATGTGATAGGCAAACTGTTTAGATCATGTGAAATAGGCTTTTCAGTTAACCGAATAACGGTGATCTGTTAACAGCTATAATTCACGCCAAGAATAAAGTATAATCAAATAATAAGGGAAGTATACCGATCTATATCGCCTGTCCAGAGATAGGTTTTAATCAAACCCATAATAAAATCCTGATCGATTTGAATGTATACACTATCACTAGCCTATGTTATGTTTCACTTAATCATTGAGTAGGTAATGTAAATATATATTGCAATTATGGAAATAAAAACCTCGCTTGAGGATAAGGAAAAGAAAAAAACAACACTATCACTAGAATTAACAAGAGCCGAGAAAATAATTACAAAGGAGATTACATAGTAGTAGGTATCTTTGGACGAATTATAATGCAAATATATATATTTTTTCTTCAGTTATAAATGTTTTTCCTCAAATTGAAAAGGGCAAATTCAAATCAACAAATTATAACAAAGTAACGAAGCAAGGCATATTCATATATTTTTGTAACAATCGGTCTTTTTAAACACACAATTATGTAAGTGATATGATGTAAAGGTTACGATTTAGCATTAGAAAAAAAACCGTTCGTGAAATGGCAGTGCTGAAATTATATATATTTTAAAATGATATAGACTTAAAATATTGAGCTAGACTTGCTAGACAAGGGGTTCATTTTGAAGGCGCAATCAACTATTTTCAAATGTACAGGTGTAACAAAAAGGATTTGGCAATGACTGACATAGCAACAAAACAGGAATAGTATTCTACCCAAATAAAATGTGCCCTCCAAAATATAAACGGCATTGTAGTGAACCTCTTACCTACTTCCGCATGCGCTGCGACTAACAACGCCGCGATTAAACTATAATCAATTTGAACACCGAATGCTACAGTAGATAACCGTTTTAGATTGAAGTGTTTGTCAAACTCTTGATTTCCTTGATAACTGGTAATGTGAATGATAAGTCGACCTCTTTTAATATAAGCATTTGTGTTACTGATGGGGTTAATTTGAAGGATTTTAAGACCTAAAAATGCCTACGTTATTTTGTCAGTGAAGCCATCGTTATGTTGATTTGTTTGTTAGTACGCGGCCCTAGCTGTGTACAGGGTCTGGAAAGAAGGGCTTCGGTTCGCTGTCAATGCAGGCCTACCATTCAACCGCGTACCTTCGAGATCACTGGACGAATGTTTGTTGCAGAATATCATAAGAACTCTAAGTACTTTATTCTTGTTTATATATCCAAATAATTAATAACAACATCCCATATCCGTTTATACAATGTAGAGTGAGGATTACTCTACAAAAGTGGGACACTTATAAATTAAAAAAACACGTTATAATGTCGTGTAGACGATGATGGACTTGTCTATATTTTTCAGGAGTGCAAGGCGTAATTATTTAAGTTCGCAATTTCAACTTCATGTAGCGTACAGACAGGCAACACTTGCGATAGTCTAGTAATTTTCCTGTTACAATTTTGGAGTGATAATGAAGTTGAGGCCTACAAGATAATGCATGGTTGGTGTCATTAATCAAACACGTTTACAATCGAAATGAATGAATTTGATTCAATCGGCTTGCATATTAAACAATTTCTTCACGGTGGCTTACGAACAGAAGGTATTATTCTGTTTGTTACTGAAGCACCCAGACGTAGGTGTTTCTGTCGCCTGTTTCTTTTCTCTCGATCCCCGATTTACGACAACAGAATGGTATAGCTACAAGCTATTGGTGTCTGTCTCTTTTATTTTCACCGCAATAGTTTTGTACTTGTTACTGAGCTCCGAAAACAAACACCAGAGTCAACAGTAAACTGTTTAAACTCGTTTATAGAAACTTGTCAACAGTCGGCGGTCCGCTGTGTGTTGCACTTGCAAGGAATATATTTATTTGAGGAGGAAATGAGACAAATGGGGTAAAGAAAGAGAAAGAGGATAAGATAGATAGATAGACAGATAGACAGACAGACATATATAGATAGATATATACATATATTGTATAGAGGTAGAGAAATGTATAAAGAGAGAGAGAGTGGTGGAGAATGAGATACATGCAAGGAGGGGAAGACGAGAGAGGGAGAGATAGATGGTTAGATAGAGAGAAAGGGAGAAAGAGAGATAGAGAGAGAGAGAGAGAGAGAAGGGGGTATAAATGGGTGCAGAAGATAGACCATGGGTTATTTGAGATTGACCTCTACCATCATTTATCAATTCCTCTCTTTCTTCCGCTCCATACAATCATCTCGTGTCAAAAGTCGAAACATTCGAATGCTTGTTTGACGAAGTATTCTCTCTCTCTTTTTAAACCGTGAGAAACAAATTTCGTAATTCTCTCCCTTCACACAGACGTTTTGTTTTTGTAGTCGTGTGGAAATAAAGAAACAAGTTTACGCCATATGTTCCTATACGTATTAGATCGTAACGATACACGTTTGCCACGCGTCCTTTCATATTTAATACAAAATTGTATACGGAGTTAAGTAGGTCGTTTTGTGTCCGTTTATCGCAGTCACGGTAATGCTATGCCTACCTCGGGCTATAGACGAATTATGTGCATAACGCTTTCTCTCTCCTCTCAATATCCCCCCTAATAATAGACATGATTTATATATCATTTGTTAGCGTCATGGAGGATAGTGATGTAGCTATGCTGATTTGTTAGAAAGAAAGCCTTATCCGATATGATTATAGGCCTATACCTTCCAGATTAACTTATGAATATATATTGCCGTGCAATATCATTTTTTGCCCGGGGCTGGCATGAAGTTTCTGCGCGGATTGGAAAGATTGAAAAAGATTTAGACGTAGAAAAAAAAGGCAATCTAAGTGTATGATATATTTATCCAAGCCGAAGGATATACTATGATATCATTATCTCCATATATACATAAATAAATGAATAGAAACGAGTGAAATAATGCAGAAAACTAGCCACATAATATTAAATAAAAGCAGTAGAAAGAAAAGGGCCGTCTGATTTTTTTTGTGTGGCTATAGAAACAAATCTGATAGGATGAAAAGATTAAAGTTTATTCAAATTAGAATCATAACAATGCCAATATAATTTAGTAAAGTAAAATGCGTTTATCTGAAGAGCTATTAGTTTGTCAAAATTTACTGTAATTTAGTATAATGTTGTGAACGCCCAATTTATGAGGATATTTGGCGTCAATAATTATCATGAAATATTTTTTTTTCTTCATGTTTAGCATTCTCTCAAATCCAGGGTGTTTTCGTTCGCTTTTTTAATTTAGTTAGTTCATGTACACGCCATTACCTATTCATGTGAATACTTGTAGCATTATTTTGAATAGGAAAGTTGTAAATAATAGTGAAATAGCAATGAAGAAGGTGGTGATAACTTTTAGAACAATATTTTTCATTTGAATCGAACCCTGAAAAATTCGCTATATAAGTTTATTATTTAAATTGTCTCTCATATCTTGCTACATTGCATTCTGCCTTCTTTTTTCATCTTTAATTTTGTGTTTATAGCACACCTCTTCAGCAATAGTGGTTCTAAAGAGGGTCTTGGGGGCCAAAGTTCCTAGCTCACACCCTTAAAAAATCTTCAAGCCCCCCCCCCCTCCTCAAAAAAATCTTCTAGAACCACGTCGTGCTTCAGTTTTTTTAAATCTCTTTCCATATATTTGTATGTTTCATTTAAAGTTCTTATATTAGTTCTTCCCTCGATATTCACAAACCATAATTTGTGGACGATATTGTGCCATTCTTCTGTTGCTTACGTCGGAAATTTTTATTATGATATAAATGATACATTCACAAAACCCAAATACGATGGAGTTTGTTCGTATTTTTACAATCATAAACGGAGGGGAAATAATTTCAGGAACCTCGCAAAACACCGTGGGGGTAATAAAGATTACACCAAAATGACCAAGGGGGTATAGGCATGAAAGGTTGTACCTACGCAATCTCAGCAGGTTCCTGATAATAACAAAAAAGTTCTAACTACTATTTTTTTTTAAAGGGAAAAAGAAAGAAAAGGAAAAGGGTAAGGAAATAAACACGCTGGGAGAATTTGGTGGTTCGGATTTCGTACTGGAATCAGTGGTTTTGTACTTTATTTTGAAAAGTAAGTCATAATTGAATACCAGTGCATGTTTGGTTTATTTTTTAATTTTTTTTATAGCTATATCTTTATATATATTTATTTATTTATTTGCAGTTGATTTTTACAGGGTAGCATTTTCAGTTACGAAAAACCGCTTTCCACAATGGCCCCGTTGGCCTAGGCAATAATATGATAACAGATTGAAATAATAGAAAGAAAAAAATGCTAAGTTCTGTATACATATGTTTTACAATCAAGCAGATATGCTACCACCTAAATCCCTTACCTTTCTATATTTTAGACTAGTTCTTGTACATGTGTGTTTTGATATTCTGTGTAAAGAAAATGCTTCAATGGGCTAGGAAATGAATTACAAGTTGGACAAACTATGGCACATTAATTTGACG